ACATGTTAATAAGCTATATTAGGCCTATTTTAGATTCCAGATATCGATTTTTGGCCAAGTCAGAGGAGATGATAATTTGTGGATCATCACAAGTTAAAAATCTGGGTGCCAGACCTTCTTACGCAACTCACTGATCGTATGACCTTGGGAAGGTCCTCTAACATCAAGGCACTTGAGCCTCACTGACGACATGTGCCATGGCCTAAGGAACTGAGGGCATCTTGACACGATTTAATTGCTTTAGAATGCACCAGTGAGTAGACGGGCTGTCACTTTTTCATTGCAATGACACAGATTGCTTGGGTTAGTCAAATTTTTATCACTGTCATCCAAATACCTGACAAGAACAACTTCAGGAGGAAGAGTTTTGGAGGGATCATGGTTAAAGGGTTCAATTCTTGGTCAACTGACTCTATTGCTATGGACCCAAGGTGAGGGGACTAACAGATAAAAACTTCTCGTCTCATGGCAGCCAAGAAGGAGAGAGAGAGGAAAAAAAAGGGTGGGGGATAGAAAATAAAGAACAAGCAGCCAAGGACAAAATACAACTCTAAGGATGCCCTCAGTGACCAGTGACCTATTTCCTTTGGCCACATTTGACCTGCCTATAGTTACCCCAGCAATTCATTCAAATTATTATTCCATCAAATGGATCAATTCATTGATTAGGTTTCTGCTCTCATAATCTAATGATTTCACTTTGGACCTTCCTGAATTAACACATGAGTTTTTCGGGTGACACCTCATATCCAAATCACAGTATTACTATTAGATGGGGATGGAGTTGTAGCTCAGAGGTGCAGCGCTAGCCTAGCATGTATGAGGCACTGCAGCTATTTTCAGTGCAGCATATAAACAAAGGTTCATCAACAACTAAAATTTTTTTAAAAAAATATTACTATTAGAAATAATTATGTTATAGGTCGTCTTCCTCATCGCGGAAGCCCACTTAGAAATAGACCCTGATGCTAAGCAGGTTTTGGCAAGTTATGTGCTTCTAATTTGTGGATCTCTCTCCCTCCAGCCCCCTTTCTCATATATATATGAGAAATATATATTGCAGCAGAGTTGACCTAATCCTTCTTGTGTTCACTTAACAGGCATACACTGGGCAGTTGCTAGATGTGAAAAATTGCTATGGTGTGTACACAGATTAGTTAAATTCACAAACAACATTAATTTGTAAAAGTGCTGTATAACTCCCAACCCATTATCTAGGAGAAAATTCAGGCATATATAGAGAAAACTCAAGCAGGCCAATGATCATGAGTGACTTAAAGGATTTTTCAGGAGTTCATGGAACATGAAGAAGGAGAGATTGCTTTTCAGTGTCCTTAGAAGTGATTTTCTAAAGTCACTATATAAATGTCGTGAGAGTACTATCAAATATGGACTAAGGTAAGCTCACATAGTTATATCCTGTAGTTATATACAGTAAACAATTGTGTAGTGCATGATATTTCTTATATAGGAGTTTCTACTTTTATATCACCATTTACCTCACTAAGTGAAACATGGAAGCAGCTCTTGGTACAATAGCAGCCAGATTCATGGCATAACTATCAACAATGAGAGTGTGTGGCTTTTCCTCCTTTAATGGGCTTCTCTTGATGCCTCAGAGAAGACCGAAGAGCTCTGCATCCCTCCCTCATTCTCAATGCTGAGATGCCTAGCAATTCCAGAGCAGGGTAGAAGAGCTGGAAGATTTTTTAAAAAGAACAACTCACTAACACAGAAATGTTAATTTAAAATAAAGTAATGATCTTCCAAATTTACAACTACACCCAATATTTAGGAATAAAAGACAATAAAAATAATCCAATATATTTTATCTTACCTGGGGCATTTAAGTAGAGTAAAATCTAACATGAGATAATATAAGCTATCATGATAGATTTAAATATCAAAATTGACTTCATTTTCAGTCCTATTCAAATTAGTTTTAGTTTAGTTATACCTGAAGGCAAACCTACACAGAAACCACCATTGTGGTTCAGTTAACTCTCGCTTCACAAGAATCCATCTCAAAACATAGTGACTTCAAACACTACTATTTTAATGCTTGAGATTCTCTGGTTTGATTGTGGTTTATTCAGCTAGTCTTGCCATTCAAGGAGCTACATTTAGCTGATGAATTGACTTAACCAAGAATGTTTAAAATGGTTTCCCCCACATATCTGGGTACTGGAAGGTGGATGCCTGTGCTTCCTGTGCTCACTCTTCCTCCACTAGGCTAGACTGGGCTTCAATGGATGATAGGTGTATTCTGAGAGAGCAAGCCCAATGTGTACACTCTTTTTTAGCCTCTCTTACATTACACTCTATGATGGACCATTGACCAAATCAAATCATGGGGCCAAATTGGAAATCATTGTCAGGAAACCACCTAAAGGTGTATTTACTGGAGAGTGTAATTCGTTGGGATGTCATCATTGTATAGCCCACCACAATCCCCTTATATGTGCCAGATACCCCCAGGAGGATGAGGGTCATGACATGCTTCCTTCTTGTTTTCAGTAGTGAGCTGTCATTCATATTGCCAGGATCCTTTTCTTCTTCTGCAGAGAATTCTAAATCTAGAGAAATCAAAATACAGTTAAAGGCATTTTTTAAGGGGGTTGAAACACCAACAGCATATCAAACCATAACCTTAATGTTCTACCTCTGTTTACTTTGGAAACTTCAGTAGCTTCTTTTTTTTTTTTTGTTCAAAACATAAAGCTCTTGACATATCATATTTCATACATTAGATTCAAGTTGGTTATGAACTCCCAATTTTACCCCAAATACAGATTGCAGAATCACATCGGTTACACATCCACATTTTTACATAATGCCCTATTAGTAACTCTTGTATTCTGCCAGTAGCTTCTTCTTTAATGTGGTCTTTGTGAGCCATTTTCTTTACTTTTGATTCAGGAGCTAGGAAGTCTCCGTCTTCAGAACTACTTCTCTTCTTCGTTCCTATTCTGACTCCAGGTAAGCTGGAGACTTCTCTTTCCTGTTTTTTCCTCTTTGTTGCAGGTTGTATTTGGAGTTCAGGAATTTCTGCTTCAGAGTCCTTGGACACGAATCCTTGATCTTTCATTTACACACGGTTATATTGCCTACGTCTGTATTTAACTCTTTGATCTGGACATTGTCTTCCTTCTTTTTTTTTTTGGTGTTGTGGATCTTTACTTTATTCATTTATTTATATGTTGTGCTGAGAATTGAACCCAGGGCCTCACACATGCGAGGCAACTGTTCTACCACTGAGCCACAACCGCAGCCCTTGTCTTTTTTCTTCATTCAAACTTTCTTCTTTTTGTTTTCTTCTAAACAAGTAATCATTAATTTTAGTTTAGTTACACCTATTTCAATATTTAACAAATATCAGCTACTCTGGTTGAAATAGGCTTGTTTTTCACTGTTTTGGCAAGTTTTCTTGATGCTGCTTTGGGTAGATTGTTGAGAAACTGAAATGATTGCAAAAAAAATTCTCCTACTTGGGACTCTTGTTACACCTTTCGATTTATTTTCCCCTTGGTATCTGGATGTACCTCAATAATTTTTGCTGCTTGTCCTTTTGTTTTGCATTCCACAAGGTCCAATAACTTTGCATCTCCAGTAGATTTATAATGTGGGATACTTACATAAACCATATTGCCACATTTCCCAAGTACTCTATCAATCCAGCTGTGACTAGCTGTTTGGGAAGTAAGTCTTGTAATAAATTAGAAGTAGCTCTTGTATGTAAGGTTTTAATAGCTATAGCCTAAGATTTTCATAATTTCTATACCTTACCTAGAATGTCAACAATTTTAACATTTAATATAAAAAAGAAAAGAAAAAGAAAAAACAATATAATAAATAGATCTCTAGACAGGCTAACAAGCCAAACGTAGCAACCCATCTAGGGCCAACAAAATTGGGCTTGAAGAGGTAACGCCCATAATGTTTTCAAAGCTATAAGGAAAGTGAAAGTACAAAAGTCCCGCTCTCTCTTTGTTTACAGAGGAGCGTCCCGCTATTTGCTTGCGGATTCCCACTTACCTGGGAACTTACCGGTGCACCACCCTGACTTCTGAAAGTTCTGGATCCTGGGTTCGAGGAATATTCTTCCCCGTACGGGCCACCAAGTGTCGCGACCCCTCGCCGGCAAGGGAAAACACGACACAGGATTCTTCTTTCAGCAGTTTATTCAGGCCTTGATTCAAGTATCATCTTCTAGCGACCCCCCGCCGAGCGCCCAAGCATAGCCTAATAAAGCCTCCCGCATACCAATCTTAAGCCGCCACGTGGATCTTTCTCATAGGGTGGTCAGGGATTGCACGCCAACTTTCCATAAAAGGAGTTGTTTACCACAGGCCACAGTGGAAGCCGGCGCCATCTTCTAATGGCGGCCACGATCTATAACAATGGCTTACCACAAGTGCATGAGAAAATTTGCTGCCAGCAAAATAAATCCTGTAGATGAAGATAGTAAAATAAATTTGAAAAATTTTATTTAAAATTGATATAACTAAATAAGCATAAAAGCAATTTTAGTTCTACGCCGAGTTGATACAAGGCAAGAACATATCATATGGAAAAGTTGGAATTTCAAAGAGAGGAGATCCTGAAAGTAATAATCCCTGAGAAATAAAAATTCCAGAGAAAAAAAAGAATTTCCAAAAGCTATGAAATTAATGAAGCTCAAGCAGAGATCTACAAGGAAGTGGGTAATGTCTAGGTTCTGAGGAGAAAGTATATGGAATGGACAAAAGGCTCCTCTGACAGGGTGAGTAGGTGGAGTTGAAAGGAAAGATCTAGAAGGCACAGGAGGGTAGAGGACAGGCTTGGCCAGGGGGTGGAGCAGGGGTGTGGTGCTGCCTCTTCTTCTTGCTACTCCCCTGCTGTCAGGATCCCTTTGTGATGAGAGGGCACAGCCCTGTGTGACACAGGCCAGGGTACGACTCCCCATTGCTGAAGTGAACTCTCAGGACTCATTTGTCCAACAGGACAGTGTGATTCAGAAGATGGAGAATCTTCTTTTTCCTTTGAATAGCGTTAGTGCCGCATGGCTGAACACCAGCTTCACCACCTGGGCGATAGACATGATCCTTGCCTGAGTGTGTGGACTGGGGCTCTTTTTTTTCTTAATGCCTTTCCTCCAGGGTAATCCATCCTTCCCACCACCAAGGAAAAAGGAAAAACTCAGGAAGGTAAGAAACCCTCACACCAGACTCAACAAAAACTAGGTTCTGTTTTGTCTATTCTTTTTTCCATTTTTCCAAAACAAGTAGAAGCACTTCAAAAAAGATAAATCTCAGGACAGAAGAGAGCATCATTCTGGGACAGGAGGGGAAAGCAGGGGAAGAGTGTCCACTAGATGTAAGCAAAAATAACCAACATGGTTTTAGCACCGTAATGAAAATACAAATAACCAGGATGGAAGCAGACCTCCAGTGAATCAGCAAGCTGCCCTGTATGCTGAAGCACAGTCAATCCATCAGGCACTGGAAGGGCTCATTTTCTAGGTATAAAAATGACCCACAGTTAGAGAAGGAGTCTGAGTTCTATAGTTTCCAAGGAGAGTGAATTGATCATTGGAAACTGCAAATGACCCTTCAGACAGTCAGGGAACTAGTTGTGCAGGTAAAAATTTTAACTCAGGAAGGCAGGTATAAAAAGTTTGAAACCCTTTGTCACTGTTAGAGATAGGAGTTCATATCCTTCCCATTGCTGTTGGTTTTCCTGTGGGATCCCTTGATTCCCACAGCAGCTATTTACTGTGCCTCCTTTCAGAACTCATTTGCAATGGTGGAAGGTTAAAGTCCAGAGCCCAGGCTTTCCTCTGTGTTGGGCTGAGGTGAGGGCTGTGCTGAGCCCTGAGGCCTCCATCACCCACTGGAGAAACCTCTCCTCAGGTAGCAGAACCCTGTGTCGCAGCTGAGACGAGCTTCTGTAAATGAGTCTGTTCCTGAGCCAAGGATCAGTGACTGCACCAGGACATGCATGGTGTAGTTCATGTAGAAAAATCTCCTTTTGTTTTTTCCAAAGAAGAAAAATAAAGTATTTTGCCACTTTAAAAATGTTCTCTGAACCAAGAGAACTAGTTAACTGTAGAACGTGATGCTGTTCAGAAAAACGGAATGTCTGCAGCTGACCTAGCAGAGCGGAGGGAGAACTGGGCCACAGCCTCTTTTTCTTTCTTGTTGGTTAGCACCCAAAGGTGAAGAAGAAAAGGAAGAAGAGCGACATTCTGAAAGGTAAGGCCCTGCCCTCCCACTCCAGAGTGACTTGCTGCCACCTGTCCTGAAGAGACCAGAGCCAGGTCCCAGAGGGAGTCAGGTGCAAAGATCTGAGAGGGGGGATCCTGGGAAGGAAAGCATCTCACCAGAGACACTCCTTAGGCCTGCATTGTGGCGGGCCGGGGTGGTGATGTCCAGTAGTGAGGTGTGGGCACGACTGGAGCCTTGCTGTCTGAGATCCTGCCAGTGAGGAGGATCCATCAGGGCCCAGTTCTGTTTCCCCAGGGGTGAAGACTGAACAGTCAAGAAATGCAGAGGCAGACATAGGGAGCAAGTTTTCTTAAAGGATAGAATAGAGTCAGACTTCTCCATAGAAAAGGGGTCCCAGAGCTGGGTATCCAAAGTGGAGGTGTCCTGTCCCTTTGTACCTTTTAGAATTCCTCTGCCCTCATGCCCTCCTTCTCCCCTTATCTTGCCTCTCCTCTCCCATTCTGCATACATGACCCAGAGGTGGGCCCCATGGTGGAGTGATCCAGGCAGGAAGGCAGCAGCCCAGGAGGCATCAATCAACAACTCCTAGAGCTCCCTGCAGGGAGGAGCAATTCCAGGGCAGTTACCTTAGCGATAGGTGGGAGGAACACTGGAAGGAACATGGGAGGAGGAGGGGGAAAGAGCATTAGGTCTCCTTTACTTTCCACCAGACCCATCTCCTAATTGGACCAGTCATTATCATCTACCCTGACTTCCTTTGGTTCCCCTGCTTCATCTGGACAAGGAGGGGGACTTCCTGGTCAAAGTGTGGACAAGCTCTTCTTCCCTAAGAGACATTCCTCTTTGAAATTGTCCGATCCTTCTCTCAGTACTGTGGTTGTTAGTACCACGGAGCCTAGTGGAGGTAGAAGTAGATGACAAAATGCTGCTCCTCCGTGTGCCTTGCGATTCATGTCACTTGTCATGTGGCCTTGAACACTGGTGGTGGCGACCAGAGTCTACTCTCTTTGTCTGCCCCCTGTGGATAGTCCACACACCCTTCCTTTTCCACAATAACCAGGTCTTCATTTTCAGATTATAGTGATTTCTGGAAAAAAGTGGAAGAGACTAAAGATCTGCTTTTACTTCTACAAAGGTGAGTCCTTTCCACCTCTTCCTGAGCCCTTCCTCCTGCTGCCTGTGACAATCCAGCAACACAAATCTCTCATGGGGGAGCAAGGAGCCTCAGGTGGGGCAAGATGTGACTAAAGCTCTGGGGTATGGGACAGCAAGGGCTTGGTAATATCAGCGAGTGGAACAGTGAGGAGCCATGGACCACAGTGTTTACCCCTGTTCCACCTTCCCTACCTCCTGGGCCCATCTGCTCCTGACTGCAGCCTGGGCCTCTATCTCTTGCAGCCACCTACAGAAGCTCCAGGATGACAGCACCTTTCACCAGCCCTTAAGAAGAGATGACCCAGATGAGATGTGCAAACCAGGGTCAGCCTGAGCCCACCAGTCATGTACACTGCCTGTGCAGGAGGCTTTGGCCACTGCCTTCCTCCTTTTGGCTTCCCTGACTCCTTTGAGCAAGCGTCCTCTGCTCCTGGCCTCTGCTCCCTCAGCAGACCTAATGACTTCCTCAGATACTGTTGAGACTCACTCATCCCTGAGTGCCTCTCAGTCTCCAGAGTCTGTGATTCCTCTAGAAGGACGTGCACCTCAGCCACGTGGACTTTCCTCTCCCCCATCTCGTCCTCCTGATCCCATGGCCCATCATATATCTCTGCCAGGCCCCAGCCTGATTCCTCCTCAGTGTGACTCAATGACACTCTCACTGGGAACCAGTCCACAGAGCGCCTCTCCACCCAACAACTATTGGCTGTCTTCTCCTGTGCCAATGTCATCTGCTGTTCTACTGCCATCCCCCGGCCTATCGCCTTCTCCTGACCCATCGCCCTCTCCTGGCCCATCATCACCTCCTGTCCCATTGCCATTTCCTATCCGATCGCCATCTTCTGTCTCATCAACTTCTCTTGGCACTTTGCATTCTCCAGTCAAATTGCCACCTCCTGTCCCAGCAGTCTCAGGCCATGTTCTCTCCACCTGTCCCATCTCATCCCTCTCCTCGTGGCAGATGGCCGCCAGAGTCTGTGGCTTCTCCTGCTCCCCACACAGTGAATCCAAGAGAGATCATGCTCCCCACCCACCAGAGGACTCACTCTGGGCAAACGGCCCACTCTCGCAGGTAGAGGCTGAGGGGAAATCTTTCATTAACCCTGGTGTCCAGAAACTGCTGGAGATACTGATCAGCAAGGGAGCAGAAATGAAGACAAAAGATGAACAGTCCACTCCCTGAATTCTCTGGGAAGCACAGTACAGTCCCTGGGCAGGGAGCAGGACACCACCATCCCACAACCCTTCTGGAACACAAAAGGCAAGCCAAAGAAGCTTTCTGTTCCTCAGCAGCTCTTTTACACCAAGGTCCTGGGGGACCATTTACAGCAGAAATGCATCCAGCTCTTTTGGGGCCTCCCCATTCTGCACAGCGAGTCCCTGGTGGCTACTGTCAGCATGTCTGAGCCCTCAGCAGACTTTTCCTCCATTGCATTCAATGAAGTGCCTAATTACTTTCCAGGGAAGGTGCAGGCTGCACCTGGGCCACTCTTTGCCTCCCAGTTGCTCCACCCACTTGTCCAACTCCAGCCTGGGACTCCAACCTTGTCCTGGTCCCAGTCCCCACCGCTGGCTCAGATCCACCATCAGGACCATCTCCCATCATCTCTCCCAAGCCTGCCATGCCATCTTCCTCTGAATACTGCCTGTGGATTTCCATGCCCCACAAGCCAAGAGGGGACCCAGTTACTTTCCCCTTCTCTTCAACACCTTAAATATGAACACTTGAGGAAACAACTAGAAATTGGAGAAGCTTTACCTCATTCGTTCCAAAAGTCTCAGAACATCTTTAGCCATCTCACTTCAGAGAACAGGGCCTCCTGTGACCACAAGCCCCCAGGGGATTTCCCGAGCCTTGATCTTCAAGAGAAACTGGATCAACACCTTCAGAAGAGGTTCATGCTACATCAGTATGGACTACCACCCAATATGGACCCATTTCTGAATCTGACGGAGTCCTGGGATAACATCCCAAGGATAGATCAGGCAAAGGACAGTTGTGAGTCTTCATGGAACTCAGTGATTCCAGACAACAGGAGCCCTGCTGTACAGAGGGCTGGTTCTGAGAGGCCAGAGATAATACAAGAGGGCACGATTCCTGTGGGTGTTTGTAATTCCAGGCTTGGCACATACCATGTCTCTGTCCTACCTGGAAGTTCAAACACCCAGAAGGAAACTTGGGGTGGACCAACCTTAAAAGGTGGGGAAGCCTTCAGGAACACCTCCCAGGTGCTCTCCCTCCTTGATGCTAGCATTCGGCAGGAACTGGAGGCACATGTTACAAGTCTAAGAGTGAGGCACAGGTGGGGCCTACCCCTCAGGGTCCTCAAGCATATTAATATCTTGAAGATGAGGAACTCTGAGGCTTCACCACCTCCACAGCCTGCCCTTCCCTCTTCAGCCTCCTATGACTCCAGGGCTAACCCCATTGCCCATGATGCCAAGGTCCTGAGAAAACCCACTCAGAAAGGTCCAGGACTGAAGGAGGTAGCACAAACTCCAGTTCCCACCCAGAGGAGTCCTCTCTCTGGCCCCTCTTTTGAGTCCCTGAGCAGAATTCCATCTGGTGACAACGGTGGGCTCCCAGATGCTCCTTCAACTGCACATGAAAGCAGCCTGCCCTCTCAGCCCCACACTTACATTCTCATGGGCAGAACCTGGAACAATGGTACTGTCCTGGGATCTGCAAGAGACAGTCTGGAACCAAGTCCAAGCCTAGAAATGGGCAGACAGGAATCCCTGGGGAGTGGAAGTATGAGCTCACAAGTCTCATGCCACAGCCTGCCATCACTTCAGGTAGGGTCCGAAGTTATAAAGACTGAAGAAGTCAGAGAGCTGGAGGATGATGAGGAGGAGTCTTCTAAATGGGGAATCACCAAGGAAACCAGGAAGACTTCAAACTTCCCTAATGTTCATATTAATTCCCTAGGGAGTTTAGAATCTCAGGGGACCAGTGAAGGACCCCCCTCTTCTATAAGTTCTATTTCCCAGGGCCAAGAATACTCATGCCTGAAAGCACAGACTGAGCCAAAGAACCAGCCTCAAGAACTGGCTACAGGTGTCAACCTGCAAGACTGTGCCACTGACAAGTTTCATCAGGACTGTGCCCCTGAGGTGCTCCTGGCTGAAGACATCCTAGCTTCCCAGGAGAGACAGTCCAACACTCTAAACATGTCCAGTAGGAGTGCATCAACTTCTCAGTGTGGACTCAGTGAAGACAGCATCCAGGACCTGCAGGGACCCAAGATCCCTGAGCACCAGGATCCAGGGAAGAGCAGGAGAAATACGTTTAGGCCAACTGCCAAGAGGGCGGACAGCGTGAGGCCCAGGTCAGGAACACAGGGAGAAAGGCTTTCAGAAGGGAGGCCCTCCTGTGCTGGGGAAATGGGCCCCTCTGTCCCAGTTATGGAGGTAGGGGACACTGTGGGGGACAAGTCTTCCCAGGCTCCTTCAAAGGGAAACTTTGGAGACAGAATAAAGAACTTTCTGCAAAATATCTTCCCCAGTAAAGCCAAAGAGCAGGCAAACTCTCTACCCCAAATCATGATCCCATCAACTACTACCCAAAGCCAAGGGTCAGTCACAAGCCAAGTGCTTATAGACAATGCAGTGTCAGAAGCCCAGGCATTCATGACTACTTTTGGATGGATCACAGATCAGAAAATGATGTTTCATGATGAACATTCGGCCTCAAAGAAAAACACACTTAAAGAGGAACAGCAGGCCTCTATGGGTAGACAATCCCATTATTCTAGCTGTTCCTCCTCCCTGGAACAAAGAAGAGGGATGGGAGCTATGGCTCATGGTCACCAGGCCAGCCTCAGGGTCAGCCATCCTCTGAACAGGTGGATCAGAAACCCGGACAACAATCCGGCCTTGCTGCTTAAGAAGTCTGCACCTCTGCCCAGCCCCTGCCAGCAGAGGTCCAGGGTGGCAGGTATCTCAGGCCACAGTGTCCACTGTCCAAGGCACTGTGCTCTTCAGAGACATTTGCTGTCTCATCAGCATCAACATGCTTCCCACTCCTGTCCTGCTGGGAAGAAGTTTTTCCCACAATTCAGACCACACTGAGAGAAACTGTCCTCATGTGAGCCCAGCCTTTGTTTGATAATGGCTTATTTCTAATGAGGTGATGATGGCTTAATAACACTGTTTTCTTAAACCAGAGAGCCTTTTGTCTGTGTTTTGCTTGGTCACAGGGAAGGGGAGGTCATGTGTGCTCTTTATTAGACTGGATTCTAGAAGAGACTGGACATGCAGGAAGGTGACAGTGGCATTGAGTACCCACCCTTATGTCAGATCCCCTCATATACCCTAGGAATTCATGACTTGATCATTACAGAAAAAACAGAATGCCTTTGGGACTCGTCAAGATGGGGCAACCCCACAATGACCCCACCCTAAAGTCTAACAGAGCCTTTTCTCTATTCTGAAATTTGTGTGGCTGTAGAGATTGGGGTACAGGTTTACCATGGAACCTAGTAGGTTCCCATGTTCAATAAAGTTGGGGAGGGGGTAGTATCCAGGCCCTGAGTTCAGAGGTGGCTGGAGAGTCCTGCCTAGTGGATACCTTGGCGGGATCAGAGGACACCTGTCCTGAGAATCCCTGCCTTATGGAGCCTAACATGGAGATGGGCCTTGCCAGCTCCTTTTAGCTTAAGGTTCATGCTGTAGCCATGTCACCTGCTTTTGCCCTGTCTTCCTCACTTTCTAGAGCAGTGTCCAGAATAAAAATTGTAGATTGGTGTGTGTCTGGGTGGGAACTGTAAGTTGGCTGCTCAGGGCTGTTTCACTTGCAGCTCGCCACCTCTCAATCTGCCTTATACGCGACACAAATATGCATGCACTAACCATCTGACAGTGGGGCACAGAGGACAGAAAATGGGATGTGAATTAAAATGGAGCCAAATAAAGAGGCAGAGTAACATGGGGATACCACAGATGATGTGTTTAGCCCGCAACCAGCACTGGCTTCATGAATGAAGGTTCGAAACGTCAGAAACCTCTAGGGAGTTTTGAATTAAAGAGACAGACTCTAATTACCTTTAAACAGGCTCCAGCATGGCTCCTCCTAGCTCCAGCCTCCAGCCACCTATTATGGTAGCAAGGTTTACTGAAGAGGCTAGCGAGAGAGAGAGAGAGAGAGAGAGAGAGAGAGAGAGAGAGAGAGAGAACATGCCTGGGAGTGGACTTTTATTGGGGAACAAAAAATTCTGGGGAAAATCCCATCCAATGAAGATTAAGGGGGGCAGTGTCCCAAGGTCAGGGGAGATGACTGGGTCTTTGGGGTAGTGGCCAGATATGCCTCCACACGGACAAGCCCTGAGAAGGGTGGGGAAAGCTCTGGACAAAAGAGCGCCCAAGCGTCTCTCATCCAACCAGGGAGGTGACTCAAATCACGTGCGAGGATGGCCTCCCACAGATGTGGTGGATGGCACAGGCATGGTGGATGGTGCCGACCTCAGGGAGGAGACATTATGGACTCATCCTGGCCCCACACAGACCACAAACCTGGAGAAGCCTCTTGAACAATGACACAGGCAAGAGAGGAAGCAAACCTTTTGGTAGAGAAAATTCATTTCCTGGCATCATACTGAATAGGGCCTCATGTCTTTGTCTCTTTAATTACAGAAGGGATGAGTTATCAACTGGAGTAGTCAAGAGTAGGGAACTCTAGCTGTGACTCCCAGTTTAGGGACCTTTAGACAAACACATGGCCCTAGCACTTCTGCAGTGGAAAGGTGGGGACCTAAAAGGCCAAAGGGGTAGCTTGGGGTCACGACGCAAGATTCTCTAGGCTTCCAGGACTTGTTGTCCAGACTAAAGAAGAAGAGGTGGTTTGGTCAAAACTTGTCGTATTAGGGCAGTGACTGTCTAAAAGGTAGGGGTAAGCTGGGTCTGGGGGTAGTACCCAGCAGACTTCTCTGACCGCACTCTGCTTCCAATAAAAGCTTCTTCCCAGGGCCTGTCTACATGGGAAAGCAGGTAGACCCCACAGGGGGTGAGGAAAAGGCATGTCTGCAGAGTGTTGGATGCTGTGGCCCACCTGGGGAAGGCAGCAGCACCACTCCAACGCCCTCTGGCATTTTTGTTCCCTGATGGAGAGGCCTATACCACAAAGTGCCACCAAGGCAGATGACACAGGCATGAACCTCCTCTAATGTCTAAAGATATTCCATATGTAAAGCCAGGCAGTCCCTCCCAAGTGCAAAAACAGGCCCTATAGTGCCGCAGTCTGGCTGGGCAAAATAACCGGGAGGTGACAAGCAACTTGAAGGTTGAAGCGGGAACTGCTTTATTGCTGAGAAACTTAGCGGGAACTGAGTGGGAACTCAAGGTAGCGGGCACCCAAGGTAGCAGGAGCCGCCTTATTGCGGAACAGCGGGGGTATATATACCTTACTGATTACACACAGCTTGTCTCAATTAACATCATCTAGATACAGCAGTCAGCCAATAAGAAATCCCCATCATCTTAATGACTCGGTGGCGTGGCCTCACAAACCACTCCTCCTGGCAAACTGCCAGGCACCATCTTGACTTGATTTGTGGTCCCCAACACTATAGGCCAACTCTGAGCCAGGTCCTGTGCCTTTTTTGATCATAGCAGACCCCAGGGTGGGCCTACCATCAAGAACAGACCCAGGCACAGAATGAGCTAGAACAGAGTCAGGACCTTGAATCTGGCCCTGCTGGGCCCTCTCAGAGTCCAGAGAGGTAGGTTCTCTGGGCAGCGGAGCTGGACGTGGACCTCAGGGATCCTGAGGGGATAATGCCACAGACAGCGACACTGATGGACAGCCAGAGGCATGAGGGAAGAAGTCCTATTGCCCTCTGCTTCTGTCAGCTTTGTCATCCATGAGGGACAGTAATTCCAACAACCAGGAGACATCCCAGAGACCCCCACACAGACATGTCACAGAATCCTCAGTCAGACACAAGTAAGACCCCCTGGCACATAGCCCTTCACAGACCCAACTTAAAGATGGCACAGAGACCACCATAGAACCTCCAACACAGCAGACACAGAAACAAAGGACCTCCCTCAGGTATAGCACCATGTTCAGGGCCCTCACACAGAGATCTCACAGAACCCCTGACACAGACCTCCCCAGAGGGACCTCTGACAGATATCTGTACCAAGAGACCTCAGAGACCTAACACAGAGAATTCACACAACAACCTTTCACTGCCACATGGTCCTCATGCAGTGATCTCTCACGGACACCTTCCACAGAGTTCCAGACCTTGGGGAAACATCCACAAAGATGTCCTCCACCGGAACTTATCACAGAGACCACCCAGAGATAGTACATAGACATCTCACACAAACACATTGACCTCATGGAGTGTCCTCACAGAGACCTCATACAGACTTTACACAGATTTTGAGAGACCCACAAAGAGATGTCACACCTCAGAATCCCCACAGGGACTGAACAGAGGCCTTTCACAGAAATTTTCTACAGAAAATCCCACATCATTTTTCCTTCATGTGAAACTCTTTAGCCAACTGGAAGCACAAGGACACTGGCCAGACCCCTGAGACACTGAGACACTGTCAGTGTGCCTCCCAGATGGCGTCTCTGCCTGGGAAAATCCTCAGGAACTTCTGTTCCTTTGTAATGCCGTTGCCTCTGAACAGAAGAACTGCAGATTCCAAGTGCGGACCTGAAAAATTCCTTCCTCTGCAGGTTTACACTAGCCTCAACTTTGACCCACAGTTAGAGAATCACAAATTTTAAACACGAATAAAATGCAGCCAACGTCCAGTGAGGGAAATCATCTAATTTGTCCAGTATTAGTTATTATCTTCACAAATGTATAAAAGTCACTTTTTTTTGTTTTTAATCTCATTAGAGACAAGAACTGAATTCTGGATTGTTGACTAGTTTGAAAACATGATAAACACCTATAGCAGATGGACTCTAGGGATGATATGAATCAGCAAAGAGCATCTGGACTTACATCGACCTCCCAGGGCCTGAGCACCCACACATTATCCTAGCCACCCACACAAACACAAGGTGAGCAGAAAAGACGGAGAGGAATTTATGGAGTTAAAAATAAGTGAGAAAGTAGAATACAGAGAAAGAGAAGTTTCCACTAATAAAGTGTACAGCCTCTCTCCCCCACCTTCCCTCCCCCTGCTCGCTCTCTCTCTCTCTCTCTCTCTCTCTCTCTCTCTCTCTCTCTCTCACACACACACACACACACACACACACACAAATAGACCACAAGTTGAGGAACTGCTACACACTAGGTACCATAGTTAAAGTGGAATAAGTTGTGAATTAAAAGAGAAATAATATTCCTCTACTATGAATTATATAGTGTAGCACAGAAAATACAAAATTACCCCAAACCCCTCAGCCATCCAGCTGCAACTACCATGAGGGACCATAACCACTGGCTTCATCAGGGGAACTGTCAGACCCCCTCTGTACTGAGACTTCGCCCTCTGCCCTCATCCCTCAGAACACTGCTCCACAGGTGCAGGCCTGGAGCACATCGCGGTCTTCTGGGGAGACTGAGGGAATGCTCAGTCTCCCACAAATAGAAACAGATTGGAATGTCAGGAACCTGAGTGGGAGACAGAGACCCCATGGACCCCCCGTAATACCCTCCTCATCTAAGCCCAGCATTCTTCCCTCCGTTCCTTCCTTCCCTGTTCACAGAGGCCCCAGAATGCCTACAGAGAAAGCCACGCCTTCCTCAAAATCCTCCTGTGCAATGCACCTGGTTAGAACAACCTCAGGTTCTCACCCAGTGTCTCAAAGTCCTGCAGGGTGTGGCCCCTGGGGGCTCTGTGTCCTCACTCTCACCATGACCCTCCCCCATGGCACGCCACCTATGCTGGGGTTTTTCTTGATCCGTTCTGGATGCTGTTCCTTCCCAGAAACCCTGCTTGATAACTCTGTGCTTGGAATGCCCACCCCCCAATGCTACAGGGCTCCTTCCCTTCTCAATGGGCTTCTCCCTGAGAGCCCATCCCAAAGATCTCTCCCAGGAGAGCCAGGTCTGTTCTTCCTAGTCCATGCCCCTTCCTGGCCCACTGCTATCCACAGTATTTATGTATTTATTCCAGTCACATCCCTTTCCCTAAGTACAAGGTCATGGGAAGCTGTGTGCCAGAATCAGGCACTTGGAATATGTCCACAAATAAAT